CCCACTTTTCATCTGTTTCAAATTTGTGTATAAGTTCGGGTATTTTCTCCAAAATATTATTCATGTTAGTTACAGGCGTGAAGTCTTTAAATTTTGTATTTTGGATTTCTTCCGTGGCAGTTAATACTGCGTCCCGTGCAAATACTTTGCAACTGATGTCTTTTATAGTTATTTCTCCTGCTTCATTTGTTTCTGTTATGATTGGATCTATAAGGCTGAGGCTATACACGGCGATATTCGACGCGAAATTCGTCGAGCGGATTTCGCCGCGATATTCGCGGTCGGTCGACGATTTTTTTCAAAACCGCCCAATCCATAAAACCGCAAAACCGTCTATTTATATAAACTTTTAATGATAGCGGCTATACGGGTCTTTTGGTTTAGCGAATTTCGCGGCGATTATTACTATACTACGGTATTTGTTTTATTGAGCGAATCCGTCACGCGAATTCGGTGTGTATAGCCAGACAGAATGAAAACCGCCGCGAAATCCGCTCGACGAATTTCGCGGCGAATATCGCCGTGTATAGCCCCAGCCTTAGGTTGGTGCAACTTATTGTTAGTGTTTCTTTTCCTGCATGAATCCATGTATTTTTATTTTGCAATTTTTGGTATATGCTTGTGACGCTGGAACAACCTAAATATAAATTATTAAAACGTATTATTGATGGAATAGACGGTATGAACATTTTTACCTTTTTCGAGAATGATAAAGTAATTCCGCCAGAGAAAGTTTTACCAAATTCAATTTTTATCTTGGACGATCTTATTGGTGAACACCAAAAGGTAATAAGAGATTATTTTTCTCGAGGTCGCCACAGTAAAATAGATATTTTTTATCTGGCCCAGAGTTATTCAAAAGTACCAAAACAGTTGATACGTGACAATGCGAATTTAATAGTATTGTTCAAACAAGATGAGAAAAATTTAAGACATGTATACAATGAACACTGTTCGGGTGATATGTCATATATACAATTTAAACATTTTTGTGTAACATGTTGAAACCGTGAGAGGTTTACATTTGTTGTTATTTGTAAAGATAGTGAGCGTGATAACGGACGTTATCGTTTTGGGTTTGATACTTTTGTAGTTATATAAGATGAAACAACTAATAAATTTTATCATTTAAAATGTAGTCATGACGGAAGCAACTACTGTGTTAAATGAGCTACTTAAAGCTAAGGAAAGTATTAAACGTAAATATATCGCATTAAAAACCGGTTCTGATAATGTTCAACAATTAATGACACAGACATTAAAACCAATTATCGATCCTTTAACTAAAATATCGAATAAACCTCGATTGAACAAAGAAAATATTGACAATAAATCAAAAAACTCAATTTTGGACTACAATCAACAAGAAATTGAAAATTGGTTTCAGTCTACAGACTTGGATAAAATCTATGGACCGAAAAAACTTCTAAACGGACATATTATTTTGGGTAAAAAAGAAGTAAAATTTATAGAAAACACTATACTTATTGACGGTACTGTTTACCCATCTACGTCGGGTCTTAATCAGTTATTATTTTTAAAAAATCCACTTATTTTACTGATAGCGATTTAGAGGCATATAAATCTATATTAACTCAAACATCAGTACATTTATCTACAGTTGGAAATAAAATAAAAAAGGGTGGTACTAAATACTCAGCAATTATTAGTAAATTATTCCCCTCGGGTGGCGAGCTGTCTATGAAATTACAGAAAAATAACTTAGTGTATTGGGATAATCCAAACGAGTTGGTCGACCGATTACGTCTGCTTCTCGCGTCAAAAGCAGCTGGCAATACAAACGTTTCAAACGAAATAATTTCGATTTTCGACGAATTACACGAGGCCGGACTAATAAAGCGAATTCCCGATGTCTAAACGGGAAATTGCTAACGAACTTCACTAACCAGCAAGGAAAAATTTCACTAGGCGTCGAGTTAACTTCTATGGAAAAAATGATTTTTGGCAAGCCGACTTGGTTTAAATGATACCATATTCAAAAGTAAATGGTGGTTACAAATACATCCTAGTTGTGATTGATTGTTATACAAAATTTTCTTGGGCGAAACCGTTAAAGTCTAAGACAGGTAAAGAAGTTACTAGTGCAATGTCTACAATATTACTTGATCGTTCACCGAAACTTTTACAACTCGATAACGGAAAATAATTTTACAACACCACTTTTGACGCTTTGATGACCAAGTATGGTATACACAAATATTCAACTTTCAGTATTCTAAAGGCTAGTATCGCAGAAAGGTTCAACCGAACTTTGAAGGGAAAAATGTATAAAGAATTTACTGCTAGAGGATCACACGAATGGGTTTCAATTTTACCAAAGTTACTTGACGAATACAATAATTCATACCATAGAACTATAGGAATGACACCAATACAAGCAGATTCCAACCCCGCTTCGGTGGTAATAAAACATCGTGAAATTAAGACTGTAAAAATTAAGTTTAAAGTTGGCGATAACGTTCGTATCAGTACACAAAAGGGCGTGTTTACAAAAGGTTATTTACCAAACTGGTCTACGGAAATATTCGAGATTATCAAAATAAATAAAACATTACCCGTTACTTATCAACTACAAGATTATATGGGTAAACCTATAGCTGGCTGTTTTTACTCTGAAGAAATATACAAGACCAATTCCCCAAACGAATATTTAATTGAAAAAATTATACGTAAAAAACAGAATCAAATGTACGTCAAGTGGTTAGGATTCGATAATATACACAATAGTTGGATAAATACACGTGATGTTAAAAAATAGTGTCAGTTGTTTTATAACTATGAACGTGTTCGGTAGTTCTCAGGCGAGCGATGCTAAAAGAATTATATCAGATATTCAAACAAGTAACAAAACAATTGTAAACGATGTGAAACTTCAACAAAAAGAAATTGATACTCTGAAAAGTAATATTGTTAATCTACGTGATAAGATACAATTGCTTGAGAATAGTATACAATCAAGTAATAAGTCTTTATTAAATTGTGAAAATCGTATGTCGCAGCTATTTAATGACTGTGCTGACAATAATACAGCGATCGCTAACCATGGACTTGACGTGGCCCAATTAAAAGCTGAAATAAATCGTATAACCGGAATATTTGATGAAAATTCATTGCCGAATCACGGAACATATATTTCAGAATTAAATTCACGTTTGATAATCCTGGAAGGCAAAAATAAAAAATAGTTGGTCAGACTGTTAGAGTCATGCGGTATTGAAAAATAATTTCAGTCGAGCTGTATACACCATCGTGTTTGGTAGTCCTATGTCAGTGTTATAAAATATTATATATATATATATATATATATATATATATATACATACATTTAATATACCTGAAATTATGTCGTCGGCCATCGCAGACATGCAATGCGTTCTTGGAGCAAACAATAAATATTTTATTAAAGAATTATCTATAGTGGACACTGAAACATGGGCCAACCAACACTGGATTTTTAAAAATTCTAAATCTAAGCAGGACAACAAGAGTCGAAAAACTAATAAGTGATTGGAACATAACTATCATAAACTTACTATAGAATATGGTGATGTTGAGTATGAAGAACTAAGTAGAATATTGAACTCTTTAAAGTTCTCATGCATTTACGTCAAAGGTGAGCAGAAAAAACATCTGCTTACAGAATTTATACCTCAAGTCGCACTAATCAACATCGAAGATCTTGGATGTCCACGTTTGGACGAAATATGTGATGATAAAACTCTACCTTGCTGTATTTTTCATATGGAATTTAATCCAAAACAATGTACATTCTATAAAGTATTTGCTATAAGGAAATGGTTTATAAATAATTCTTAAAAATATGATTGTACACATTTTATTTAATAAACATAATTATATTTTAATATTGTTTTTTTAATTTATATGTTAACATATTTATGTTAGCATTTACAAGGTTTTTTAATTATACTAATATTATCATCCATCTACCTGAAACAGAAAAACATGGTTATAGCTTAAACAATTATACAGGAAAAAAATATTACAAGAAAACATTGCAAACTATCTTACATATCTAGCAAAAGCATACTGATACGGTATAGAGTATTTACAAATTATACAAAATAAAAACTATACATTTACATGGATATTTACAAAGTATACATTATAAAGGTGGTAAAATAAAAAAAATATTACAAGAAAAAACATTTTAAACTAACTTATATATATATATATAACAACTTTATTAAGCGGACTGCCCACTATGCGGGTTGCCAAAAGACACAGTATACAAAGTTCAATATTAGAATACATAGGATTGTTAAAAATTATAAAATTATAGTAAACAAAATATATACAAATAAAATTGCTGTATGTTCCGAATGGATGAGACGTCTACTAGGTAGAATTAATTAAGATTTAAATGAATAAAAAAATACAGATTAAATATTGAATAATAAGATAAAATAAAATAAAAATAAATAAGGTTTATACATAAGATAAACGATGATATAATGGTTTACGAATATAAGTGGTAGTTTATAATATTGAGTGTATCCCTTAGAATACACAAACATATTTTTACTAGATCAGAGATGTTTAGTCCATGGGTTCTGAAGAAATTTCTCAGAAAGCAAGATGCGGTTCCTCGGGCCCCAAACCATAAACCCACGACGTCCCAGTTGTTGATGTTGTATTGATTCTTAAGTATGGGGACGCATGGTTGGTGGAAGCATACTGATACGGTATATTTACATAGTATTTACAAATTATACAATATAAAAATAAAAATTATACATTTACATACAAAGTATACATTATAAAGGTGTTAATACTACAAATTTATACACTAATCTAATATTTTACAAAAATATTTACAAATTACACAATAATCTATTATCAAGTATTTAAATTATATAACAATTAATAGGATAATATTTACAAGTTATTTACAATAATCAATATATAACAAAACAATAAAACTATATAACAAAAAAATAAGTAAAGTTTCTGAAATAAAACTATTTAGTTGTGTAACAAAGAAGCTCTTTCATAAACTCTTTATCCAGTTTACTCCATCGTCGTCCTCTGTCATCTACCTCATAGTCGAGTTCAGGCCATTCATCGTCAGGTTCATCTTCCCTATAAAATGTTAGTAAAATAATTTAAATATATATATGTAATAACTTACTCTATACTATAGTGTCCATGTGCTAGTGTATGTATTTTATCGTCTAACACCACCCTCTTATCATCACAGCTGTTATAAGTTAACTTGTTGGTCTTAATTGTCATTAGTTGGTGGTTAAACGACCGTATAGACACGTTTTCCCTATACAATTCTACTCCTTCTTCATCAAACAGACACTTCCTATGATCCTCAAGAGTCATGTGGTTTTTAACCACATGACCTCTTATCCCCTTCGCTTTGATTTTTTCACCGCCTACTCTTTCCTCCGGTCCGGCATACACATTGAAAGCATATGACTTGGCTCTCAATCCACAGAATTCAGTAATTATATTCGAGTCTACTTCATCGGAAAAGTTTCCCGGGGACTTCTTTCTGGTTGCCACATAGCACGGATGGTCACTAGGCAGATTGGCGGTGTCCATCCGGTCCAGTAAGCTACTGTTAACCTCCAAGTCTACATAAAAGTCATCGGTATAGACATGGTAAATCAGTGAATCTAGAAAAAGAATGATATTAAATTAATATATTATATACACGAGCATAGTTTTAATATATTTACGTGTGTCAGTGTACATTAATTTAATTTTGTCTCCATAGTGCCTCTGCATGACATCATAATGGTACTCATACATTAGTGTTTTAGATATGTCCAGTACTGCAAATCCTGTAAATAATAATTGTATTATTAATTGTATGTTATATAATATAAAAAGTATATTTACCAATATATATGGGTTTGTCGAATTTAATAATTTTATTTTCAAGCGCTACAGCGTTCAGGTTTTCAGTATAATTTGTACAGTGTTTAAATGTGCTCTTGTTAATAAGTTTCTGTAATCTCCTCTCACACGACACCAGCTCCATCTTCATCTCTTTCCTTTTAGACTGCATTGTTTTACCTGTAAAAATAAAATATCAGTAAAAATGTTTAATACATAGTATTTAGTGACTTACCAAATACAGCGTTATTCATCAGCTTGAAAAAATCTTTCTCAAAATCATTCCTAGCCCTCTTCCTCATCTCGGTATTTAACTCAATATATTTAGCTAACCAGTCTGACTGATCAAACTGAATAACCCTATGCACCTGTAAAAATAAGAAAAAATGTTAAAAAATCTGTTTAAAGTCATATAAATTACAAATATTTACTTTTTCTACTATTAATCCATTCTTAATCGCCTGCTGCAGGTTTCGATAATGTATAATATAATTCTCCTTTTTCTCAAACGTGGCCATCAACTTCCTTACCTTTGAACCACGCGGTACACTATTTTGCGGCAGGAAGGGGAGGTCGTTGTGGATAGAATGTAATCTTGGGGGATATGACACATCAACCTCATACACTCGACCTATTGGTGATGTATCATCTAAATCATTTAACCCGTTTAATGTGGGTTCAACCCAGTTGAACCCACCGTACGGCATGTCCTGGGACATTGCCCACCCATACAAGTTGTTACCTATAAAAATAAAAAATATTATTAAGTAAGAAAAAAATTAACAAGTTTTGAAAAAAAATATACTTACAGTCCTGATATATTATCCACGATTTCTCCTTCGTTTCGTCATACCCCGGGGTCTTTACATTGTTCGCCTTCGCATATCGCTTACTCGCCTGCACTAGTCCTCCACGTATACCTATAAAAATAAATAAGATTATTATATGTACATTTTTAAAAATAATATACTAACCATTCTCGAACATCAACAACATGTCATAATCATGTAATAACTGGAGCTTTTGTCCCGTGAACTTAAGCATCGCATCGAAACTAAGTCCAGGGGCGGTGAAATAGTGAGCGGCGTCCAAGTTGTATGCCCTCATGCACACGTCGCGGAAGTTCTCAAAAACGTCCGCAACAACAGCACATCGATTTTGAGGTACAGATCGCTGTACTCGCCCAACATCGTACAGCCGAAGTGGTCCCAGACCTCCTTCGCGTGGTCAAACAACTTCTCCTTAATACCGGTCTCCGTCACCGTGCTATAAAAATCCCTCTTACTCAGTAGTCTTGTCTCCTCCAGCCGCTCCCAACTATCCGTGTACTCGTACGGGTACACCCCCTTACGAGTCACGAGCGGCATATCTCCGGCGACAAAATGTTTGGCTGTCTCACGGAAGTTCTCATGTTCGGGTGTAACTAAATTTTCGGCCAGGGACGACAGACTCGACGCCATAAACCTGAACGTGTCGATAAACCGAACAGTGTAGGTACTACTTATATATTTCGAGAAAGATATAAATTTCTCCTCACTGTTCGGTATAACGTTGATCGCCTGTGTATCATACCCAAGTTCAGTGATTATGAAGTGCGAGTCGTAATTTGAGAGATTATGAAAAAATACGGGGACAAATTTAGGTTGTTGCAACTCTAAGTTACACCTGGAGCACAAGGTCTGTCTAAATTTGCCCGTGAGATGGTCATGATCCCTAACCTTATCGCCCCCGACTAATATGCATTTGCATAAGTTACACGCATTACACTCTTGATGTGTTTTTTCTTCACCCTCGGTCATGATTAAAGGAATGTTCGTCTTCATCAGACCTTCAATTTTCCAGGCCACATCAACAATCGACTCCATGAAATGTCTCGCCACGTCCGTCCTGTCTTCGCTGCCTCTGTAGATTACTACTGTATCCTCAAATTCGTCCATTGCGTTCATACATATAATATCGTCGTCGGATACCGCATTCGATCCACCGGCCGGGAAATCTGGTACAAATATTTGCGGCGCGATTTGAATATCTCCCTGCGGAGCGGCAAGAGGCCCGAACTGTATGACGCTTGGTCGTGCTGGTTGAGCGATGATCGGCGCAGCGGGTATTGGTCTCAAATGAGCCGGAACGTTTACGATACCTTATTAAAAATAATATAAATTAATATTGTATAAGATAGAAATAAAACTTTATATTATTAATACATACCATGTATATTCTTCGTATGTTTGTTGAGCCCGGTTTTGTATGTGAATGTTAATGGGCAAGCAGTGCACGGAAAACGTACACCCATATGTTTTTTTTGATGTGCGACAAAATTGTGTTTCATGGTGAAAACTGACGGACACTGATCGCAATTAAACATGTTTAAAATGTTTGAAATGAAAACAAACGAAAATAATATAGTGTTTAAACACTGCCAAAATTAAACACTTGAAAAAATTGTAAATACTGTTGAGTAAGGACTGTGAAAACACGAAGACAGCAAAGGCAAAGTAAACGTGAAGGTATGGGTGTCTTGAACAGACTGGCTCTGTCTATGCAGACAACGGAGCAAGTGTCCAGAAATCTGAGCATTTCAAGCCGTGGGTTACCAAAATATTAATCAGGTATTTACTATGATAAATGTGTACATCACTAGTTATTACCAATTATTTTAGGAACCATCGTTTATCAGTAAAATTTCCAGGAATTCGGCTGTGCGTGTTGACAACAGACCGGACGAAACAGGTCGTTCCGCCGACAATAGAACAATAGAACGTTTACTATCAATACATGACTTACACAATGGTGTATATTTCTATACGTAACCCTTACTCGATGAAGCCTTACAAAAATATGACCTATATGCTACTTTTAAAATTGCCACTAACATAACCATCTAACAAAATATTTGAAAATCGTGTTGCTTACAATAGATTTTCGTCCCATCGGCTTACAATAGATACCCCTTTAGGTCACCTTTACAAAAATAGTTACTGACATACCAAGAAAAGCGACCATATGCTACTTTTAAAATTACCACTAACATAACCATCTAACAAAATATTTAAAAATATTAATATAGTTTGAAAATATAAATTATTGAATGCATGGTTTTAAAATTTAAATATATATATATATATTAATAATAAATAATATAATTATTACAACCCCCTCAAAAACCTTCATATTCATCCATATGACTGATCAACTCCTCGTCATTTCCGTCTTCACTCCAATCCATTTCTGCTGTCTGCTCTCCAGAATGACGCGTCGTATTCATAATTTCCCCTTCAAATAGCATGTTATATTCGGGGGCTAACATGGCCCGAGGAATTTCTACCGTGCTATGTGAAACTGAGGACTGGGAATCTAAGTCTGGAAAAAGGTCGTTTCTCACCCTCAGTACGTATGCTATCGGTGTTGTCGGTGGAAACATGTCTGGCGAAGCTTCTTCCAACAAGACAGGCTGAACCGGTGTCAAAGAACGTTGACAATTCTCCATCTGTGATACTTGAGGTGGTGATGGTGTTGCAGGGGGATGAAGAGGCGAAAATGCCCTATGCCAATCATTATTTTCAACTTGCGTGCTCTGGTTAGTCAAGTAACCACTATCTCCGGATTGAGTCTAAATAATAATAATAATAATTTATTTTATATTTTATTTTTAAAACAAAAAATACTTACCATTTCACCATATAAAAGTCATGCTCATGCATGTTGACGAGAACTGGAGACTGGCTATGTATTTCGGCCAGACGCCGATTATACTCATCTCCTCCATATACCGGAGTACTCGGTGATGAATTATTTGACATCTAAAAATCGGATTATATGTAATTTTTAAAATATCTTACGAATAATATAAAACAAAATACTCACATTTTTACCGGTAATGATTATCACAAACGAAATATAAAAATTATAAATACCTACTATGATAAATAAAAATCTCATATAAGTAGATAAATCCGTATCTGAATATCTGTTGAGAAAAACTGTAAACGCAAAATGTGTGTACACCGGACAAAAGACTGGATACACACTGATCGACCAGCCACATGGGTAAGGTACCGACCGTCCGTTGATCTCAAACATATTGTTTGTTGAAGTAGGTAGTTGTTTTTTTTAAAAACGAGTACATTTATAATAATAGGTACACACTATACACCATAGAAAAGTAATAAACATGACCCGGGTCTCATAAAACCCTTGTCACGCCGCCACTGTTCTAAGTGGAATACAAAACGAAGGGTATAGTCACAACCCTTGTTGAAGAATGTCATTGTTAACAATAACTAGGGTATGCCGGGACACACACGTGGTTGCCTGTATAAAATATACAAAGGGGTGTACATGTATAGTCTCCTTGTTGAAGCATAAGTCTTTGATACATAAAGTTATTACATCGAGTTGTGTACAATAATATTCATACAGCTATATACAATCATACTAAAAGTAAACCGGCTCTGTAGCTTAGTTGGTTAAAGCGCCAGAATGTAAGACGGAGATCAAGAGTTCGAATCTCTCCAGGGCCTTTTTTCAATATTTATTTTTTGAAAAATTTAGATAATATATACAAAACGGTCGTTCGATGCATACATAATATATGCGCATGCGCGGAAATATGTGATCAGTGACGGGGATAATAATAATAATAATACTAGTAGGAGTAAGAGACTATGTTGTACGCATGCGCTATACGATGACGAGCAAGGACGGGGCGGGGTAAAATATACGTTACGCACGTGCGCGATCGGGCGGCGCTGATGACGAGCAATGGGCGACGGGTTTGGGTGGTGAGGTGGGGTGGGGTAAAATATACGTCACGAACGTAAGCGGTGGGTGGGGGAGGGGTAAAATGTACGTCGCGTACGTGCGCGATCGGGTGGCGGCGATGACGAGCAAGGATAATGGGATAATGGGATCATGGGATAATGGGATCAGCGGTCTGAACTCTCTATTTTTTTAGCCTTATGCTTCTAAAATACTAGAATCACCAACTTGGTTGGAACATTGTAAAATAGCTAATGATTTAATAATTACAACCGGTACTTTTACTGAAAAATATCTCAATAGTATTAATGTTCTTGATAATAAAGTAAATATTATAATATGTTGTCCTGGTATACCAAATAAAATTAGCATATTATATAATACCATATTCAAAAACTGGAAGGAAGACCATTATTACTACCAGAAAACAAAGAAATAAGACCAATGAAAGGCAAGGAAATAGTAGTGGCGCGAGCAGCCTTAGCACGAATCTTTAAGAGGACGTCGCACCGAAACGTGTACGCGTTCAACGGCCGAGAGGATGCGCTGTTAAGCCGTGGTTTCCTACAACCACGCATCCGTGATTGCGTGGTGCGCGATGCGTTATTCCGCGATCACACTTGCGTGATGCGTGATGCGTGTTGCGTGATGATGTTTTGCTACACAGTGCGTGATTATGAGTGCGTGATGAAAATATTTGTCAGTTGGTGTCCAGTTCTTCGCCAAAATGGACGTGTTGACGCTTTATAATATTTTAGAAGACGAAGCTGACGAAGAACTGTTGCTACTTGCAAATTATTTCAGGGATGAAGAAGACGAAATGTTTATTGAACGAAGTAGAGAAGGATGTTATAATATTTTAGTTGAAAGACGCCTTATAGATAACGAAATTAGATTTCGTGCATATTTTAGGGTATCACTTGAACTATTCAATTATATATTAGATTATATTAAAGACGATATAAAAAGACGTCCAAGTAACAGAGTTAAAAGACCAATATCACCGGAGGAAAAACTCGCTCTCACTCTAAGGTAAGTTAATTATGATATTATAATTATTGAATATTCAGTAATTGAGATTTAAAAAAAAATAGAATATATCATGTTAGTTTTTAACAAACAAGTACATAATTTAATTTATTTAAATATTATTATGATTTGAAAAAAAGTTATTGTTGCAGGAGACATATTACATAAATACTTAAAATGGTTTAAATAGCAATATAATAACATGTTGAAATATAGGTACATCATATTATAACACCGATATTTCATTTTAATAACAGTATACGAACAAGATGTATACATACATTTTAATTATTTAAGTATAGTAACATTTACTAAAATGTTACAAAAAATTGATGTCCATATATCTGAAATTGTAGATATTTTGTTATAAACAAACTACACGATTTACCTAAATACAAAAAAAAAATAAAGAATACAAATATTTCTTAAAATAAATTAAAAACATAACAACCCTTTTAAAATGTGTTTTGCAAAATAAAACAAAATATAAAAATAATAACACCTAGGTTTAATAATTGTAAAAAAAAATTAATAATCATTATTATAATATTGTAAAAAAGCAAAACTGGAGTTTTCTGCTGCGGTAGGGCATGAAACACTGCTTGTTGCAGAAGTTGCAGAACTCGAAGAACCTTCTTCGACAAATATTGTCTGAACTATTTGTTTTGATGGAATAGGCGATACCGGTACAATTGGTTCTACGCAGGGGCGGACTGGGACTGCTCCGGCCCAATATTCCAAGTTTATTAGCGGCCCTTGGTGTTTTAGGGCAATTTTTTTTACTCTAATTGCACTTATGATTTATGAACTTATACACGATGTATAACAGAAACACTTGACAAATTGAATAGGTAGCTCTTGTTCTAATCATTTAAATATTTATTTGAAATAATTTATAGACTTTTTTAAGTACAGTATAATATTTATAACACCAATAAAAAGGTGGGCAAGTGGATGTCACTCTACTGTACAGTAGGTTACAAGGGGGTCACTGTAGTGAATGGTATTAAATTTGAATTTAATGATATAATATCATTGTATACGGAAAATACGGTTAATATACAGTATTTGATGATACTATTGTGAATAAAGTACTTAGGTATTTAATTTCAGTATTAGGAACTATACCTAGTATTTACTATAGTAGGTTAAATTCATTGTTAAAGAAAAAATTACATTTGAAAATATCTTTGCGTGTTTATAAAATATAACAATATACTCTAAAAGTTTCATATACCAACAAATAATATTTTTAAATTGCAACAAAATAACTAAAATCGAAATATTCTTGGTTTTAATATGTCATTTCGTCCAAATTTGAATTAAAAATGTCAGTAAAAAAACTATATTCTTCAACTATATTTTATAGATTTTTTGGTTACAGTATGAACTATATTTATGAGAATCTTTGTTTTACATTTACAATCCATGGTTATAAAAAATTGAAAACTGTACATTTTATAATTTTTTAAAAATACAATGATTGATAATTTTCGAGATTTTGATACATTTTGATAAATTCGAACTTTAAATACTTATAAAAAAAATTGTGCCTATGTTTGTATTTTTAATATTTTCAAAATGCTATAGTAACAATATATCAGGAGCTTTATATTAAATTTTCACACTGTTTAGCCCACAAAATAAAATTTTATTGATATTTATAAAAAAAAACTAAACAAATTGAAATTTGAAATTGCCCGTAAACAGCTCAAAATGAGTCAAAATATTTTCAAAATTGTTATGGTGTATATGGAGAACTTTCAGTAAAATTTTCATGAATTTACAGTTATTCATTTTTGAATTACAAAAAAATAAAGAAATCGCAGGTATCTAATATCTATATGAGAAATCGAGTGAATATCCAATGTTGAAAAAATTTAAACTTCAATCGCTCATAAAAGTTTTATTTGACTTTCTGGTAGAAATTTTTTTTTGACAAAAGTAGACAAAATTATGATGAATTTTGTATAACATTTTCAAATCCGAGTTTTAAGAATAAAAACTTTTATGAATTCCTAGCTAAAAATAATTTGTGAATTTTCGTCATTTTTGCGTATTTTGTCAATATTTGAACTTTAAATGCTTAAAAAATAAGAATTGATTTTTAATATTTTAGGATTTTTCATATTTTTCATCTTCCTTTGAAAAAAATATATTAGGAGCCTTCAATTAAATGTTCAAGAGTTTTTACCCAACAAATAGAATTTTATTGATATTTATAGAAAAAAAAAATAAAATCGACACTGAAAATGTCCGAAAACAGCTCAAAATAAAACTTGATAATGTTATGGTTCATAGAAAATTCTAATATAAACATTCAGTCAAAATTTGATGTATTTAAGGTCATTTTTTTAGAATTATAAAAAAAAACTAAAGTTGATTTTGTCAAAAACCTATTAAGCGTAAAAATTCCTGTTTTCTTCTGAAAACTATTGGAAATTTTAAATTTTGACCTCCCGAATGCACTAACTTAATTCACCTTCCGATCGAACAAGACACTGTTGAAGAAAATAGAAGCAGTTCTACTACCCCAAACAGTGACGGCAGACACAACAATTTAAAAATTTAAAATTAAAAAAAACACACATGATTGGAAAATCAATTATACATTCATCACTCCGCTCGGAATCTAAAATTGTATATAATAAGTAGATACCTACCTAATTTTTTTTTTGAAAAATTTAAAATAAGTACCCATTTGTAAATCTAATTTTTAAACACATTTTGATAAAAAAAAGTATATTTAAATCAAGTAGCTTATTTTTTAAAATTTTTTTTAATATTATTATTTTGAAGCAAATTAATTTTAAACGTAATAACTTTTTTCAAAATATTGTTTTTGGAAATTTCCTGACATGAGAATATTTCTTAAATTATTTATTATCCATGACATTTTCATGACTGTAGTCATAAGAGTAGTGTAATTTTTTTCAGATCATTCCGTTACAGTATGTTTAGGTATATAATATTATATAAAATACATATTATTCCCAAAATTTTCTTTTAAATTTAAATTATTGAAATATAAAATAATACTAAACATAGAAACAACCACGTTGGCTAGTACCTACTCATTATTCATAATATTGTATTCACTATATTTTCGTTATTTTCCGGCAGTTCTACCGTGCGGTATACGAATTTCAATCAATTTACAAAATAACCATCCTATATAAACCGAAATTTGGCTTTGTGCTAATTTTTCCGAGCTAAAGCCTAATTATTCGTCTAATTTGACAGGAATAAAATAGTCAAATTGGCCATAGTCTTTTAATTCGATCTGAATTTATTTATACCTACTTTATAAATGCGTTGCTATACACGCCACACGGCATAAAATCCCTGACAGGACAATAACGTTATACGTTTCCAGAAATAAAACATTTTTAATTGTATTGATATCCATATTATTTAATTATAATGTATATCTATATATTATGTTTTTGTTATCTTTTATATGGTAGGTAGTGTACTAGTGTCTATATTGTGTAGTTTGTGATGGGCAATAGCAGCCCAATCGTCCAATATATTATTATAAAATAACAAAAAAAACAAATTTAAATACAACAATTATAGTTATACATATTTGCTAGAAATAGTAGCGGCCCAACACTTACAATTTGGTACCGGCCCACTGTGCTATAGAATAGTGGCACACCGGGCCAGTCCGCTACTGGTTCTACGGATGTTGTATTCGAAGCCTTTATTGCGCGTAATTCCAATTCGGAAATAATATTAAAAACTCTAGTTTTTGCTTCTACGGCCAATTCTGGGGGAAATGTTGCCACTGTCGAAGCCATGCTTTTAAAAAAAATTTGAATTGGATCATTACATAATATAATTCGCCTCGTCTCATCTCTTTCAATGCCACCAAACGCTCCTCTAGCCCTTTCTTGATTTCCTCAATTATCTTATCCTTTGTTCCAATTTTTTTTGGTTTTTCATACGGTTTTCGAAATCTGTCTGTCAAACTATCACGTATTTCATTTTCCAGTGGTTGATCGACTATCGAATTATCTGTTTCTAATGAAACTTGACCAGAATTATTAGAAAAACTATTTTCTTCTGACTCCGCAGTTTGATTAAAACTTTCATTTTCCATAACCTCTGAATAGGTTAAGTTTTCTTTGTAGGCAATGTTCGACTTAGTTCTAGAAATAATTTTATAAATCATAAGATGTTTGAATTTTAAGCAGTAATATAAAAAAAACTGGTCGGGGTGGTAGCATTTTTGCATTTTGGGTGGAAGTTTAAGATTCTCAGTGAAACGAAGAAGTTATTGGATCTACAGTGGTGTGTGTTTTTTTTATTCAAATCTCAATATACACTTACTAGTGCAAAATTAAATTTAATTAATTGATTAATTAATTAAATTTTAAACTCATAATTTTCATCATTAATATTATGTAAGTTCTAAAATTAATTTGTGTTATTTAATAAAAAATAATCGAATTCAGAAATTATTGAAATATTCTTGTGGTAATTTTAAATTATTTTAAAGTAATACCATTTTATGTATTTTAAATATTAATAAAAATAAAAAAGGTGGGCAAGTGGATGTCGCTCTGCTGTACTGTAGGTTACAAGTTGGTCACTGTATAATGGATGGTATTAAATTTGAATTCAATGATATAATATCATTGTTTAAGAAAAACGATTCTGAGTGGAGACGGTATGTCAGTCTAGGTATAAGACATTATATACTTATCTATGGTATTAAAAAAAATTTACCTATAATAGGTACCTATATGTCCTATAATAAATTCCAAATTAATCATATCACAATATCCATTAGGTACTTATAACGCGTTATACATCAACAACAAACCCTGATACTATCATAGATATATAATAGTGTACTTAGGAAGTTTCAAGTATCCTCGAGTAATATTATTTTAAATTTTCAATCCTTAGATATGAAAACTAAACATTTTATAATTTATTAATTACAATGATTGATAATTTTCGAGATTTTGATAAATTCTGTCAAAATTTGATCTTTAAATGCTTATAAAAAAAACTGTGCCTATGTATTTTAAATATTTTTCAACTGCTATTGTAACAATATACTAGGAGCCTTCTATTAAATTTTCAAGCTTTTTTAACCAACAAATAAAATTGTATTGATATTTTTAGAAAAAAAACTAAAAAAAATGGAAAATGAAAATGTCCCTAAACAGTTCCAAATAATTCAAAATATTTTGAAAATGTTATCGTGTATAGAAAATGCAAATATAAACAACCAGTGAAAATTTCATGTATCTACGGTCATGTGTTTTAATGTTACACCAAAAACCAAAATCGATTTTGCGTAAAAATTCCCGTTTTTTCCTAATTTTTCTTTTGTTTTTCACGGCCCTATTGAAAACTACTGGGAAATATTTACTTTTGACCCCCCCAAAGTACCAACTAGATTCATTTTCCTATCAGAAAAGTTACTGTTGAAGAAAATCCAAGCATTTTTACTGTCCTACAAAGTGATGACAGACACAAAAATAAAAAAACACACATCATTGTAAAATCAATACATTCATCGTTTCACTCAGAATCTAAAAGATACAAAAATATGGATAAAAGGTAAAATTAATAGACTTTACTACTCATTGTAGTATTTACTATTTAGTTAAAAAAATAAAATATTTTTATATTACAACAATTAATCTCAAAAAAAAATTGTTATCTCCGAATTTTATGAAATGTTGATTAAAAATTGAAATACATATTTATACATAAGTAATAAGTATACGTATAAAGTAGCTTATTAATAATAATTTGTTTTTACCTTCTTTCATCTTCAATGTTGTTTAAGAAACTTAATGCATCATCGTTATACTTTGATTTTGTAGGAGCTGCTGAACCAGTACCTAATTTACGTTTTTTCAAATTTTTTTTGTACGAATCTCTTACTGTACGCCAACGTGTTTTGCAGTCGTTTACTAAAAATAATTTAAATGTATTTACATTTTACAGATTTTTAGCAACCGGAGAGAGTTACAGATCTCTTTCATTTCAGTTCAGAATATCGCACAGCTTGATAAGTACCATTATAAAGGAAGTACTTGTAGCTATTTGTAACCGATTGAAAAACATAACAATGCCAGAACCTACCGAACATAGTTTAAAAAAAGTATCGAATGATTTCTATGAAATGTGGAATTTTCCGAATTGCTGCGGCGCTATTGACGGGAAACACATAAGGATCGTTTGCCCTGATAGCTCTGGATCACTATATTTTAATTTTAAATCATTTTTTTCCGTTGTTCTATTGGCTTTATGTGATGCGAATTACAAGTTTCTAGTGGTCGACATAGGGTCATATGGAAAAGAAGGAGATGCAGGAATCTTCTCTAAATCAAATTTAGGAAAATTGATTTCAACTGGAAAATTTAAATTTCCAGACCCAGAGTGCTTACCAAATACTGATATAGTCGTGCCTCATGTATTTGTTGGTGATGAAGCGTTTAAATTAACGGAAACAATGATGAGGCCCTATCCTCGAAATCAATCGAAAACAGATCAAACGAAAGCCATTTTTAATTATCGTTTAAGTCGAGCGCGAAGAACAACGGAAAATACGTTTGGAATTATGTGTCAAAATTTTCGAGTATTTTTTACACCAATTAATATTCTTCCTGAGACAGTAGACAACTTAATAATGGCATCGTGTATTATCCATAATCTATTGCGAGATGAACGAATGGTGTGTCCTACAGATTCAACAGAAAAAGATCCCATAACGGACGTACAAACGAACATGATACAATTAAGTGCAATAGGGGGAAATGCAACACATGAAGCTTTTCGAGTCAGGGAAACTTTTAAAGATTATTTTAACAGCAGGATAGGATCAGTGAGCTGGCAGCAAAAACACGTCACACGAACTAATTGAAATAATATTATTGTATACATTGGGCTATTTTCAAAAGTATTTTCTATGATTTAAATTTTGTTTTGTTTTATTTGGTAATTTTAGAATAAAGTAAAATAAGTATTTATTTTTTATTGTATTCTCTTATAATATTATTTAATTTAAAAATAAACTACATTTTTTCCTTATACATATTATTTTATATTACATATTATATTATTTAAAAAATGCATTATAAAAATATATATATAAAAATAAACAAACATCTATTTATAGATGTTTGTTTATTTTTATTTTTGATTGTGCACTACGCCTCGCTAAAAACCCAAGAGTCGCCATATAATATAAATAATATGAAATTCCGAATCTAAATTTGATACAATCATAATAATAAATATTTAAACCAATGATTTTACCATTTTTTCCTACGAAGTGTGCAATTTCTTTCCAGGCGTTCTCTTTGACGGAATTATCCTTATAATTTTTGTCGCTTAATTTGTACAAAACAGGATAATTTCGGACACATTCAATCAGCTTTTCGTCATCTACTGAGTTAAATGATTTTGACTCCATAGTTTTTTTGAAAACTAATGAACGATCTAAAATATTTATTGAATTTGTCGATGATTTGCACATTGTCAATGAATAAGCATGTTTTTAAATGAAATGTATGGAATTGGTACTTACCTACTAATTTTAGTAATAATTTGAGTAATATATGCAGTTATTATAAGCAATAAATATTTAAATACAATTTATATTATATAATAAATAATCCTAATATATAAAATGACAAGGAAATCAGCTGTCTACAAGCAACCCGTGGAACGGAAAACGCAGTTATAGTGAAACCGTGGAGTAAAAAATGAAGCACCGCTCCGTTTCCCCAGCCCGCCGGCCATGTCCCGTCGATTCCTTATAGCGCGACCAATCGCGTACCTTCGCAACGGCGGCAGTCGGTTTTAAAACGTTTTTCGTTATCACCTCTTTTCCTATCATTTCGCCGATTTTTGAAATTTTCGGAAAATTAGCTGTTTTTACACGATTTCGACCCTTTCCGTCCTTTTTTATACTTAATTCGAAGCCGCCGGTGTGTGGTTTATATTCGTGCGCCGTTCGAAGCGGTCGCAATGTCGATCGAAAAATACACTCCCGACCGGACTTTTTTGCCGATTTTTTCCTTTTCTCCCACCGTTTCGTCTATTCACACGCCGTTTGTGCCCGAATCGTGTAGTCGACGTCTTTTTAAAGCCGTTTATATGGGCTTTTCCCCCGAAATCGGTTCGTTCGCCTCGCAATCGCGTTTATAAATTACGCCGGCGACCGACCGACCGTATATATACATGTATAATTTAATTTTTCCCTATGATTTAATAATTATTAACGAAAAACGCTTTTCACACGCCCCGTTAAATATATATATGGGAGATGCGCGTATTACAAGCGAATTATATGCGATTACATCGATGTACATCGAATATATCGGTTTACGTCGCTCCGTAGACGCACGGCTTAAGTGTTGATGTTTTGATCATATTTCACATCTCGAACTGTGTCCAAGTAGGTTAGGCGTTAGGTAGAAAACAAGTAGGTCCCGGGTTCGAACCCGTCGTTCGCTGCCCGAGCGTCGAATCTGGCATTGCCATAAGGTCTACACGGCCGCCCGGAATCGGATTTTTTTTGCATTTTTTTTTCACGTTATTTTTAATATAAATTAAATAATAATATAATAATACAGGAACATATCGTACATTATTATTATTTAAAGTCATTGTCATATTATATCATACAATAAATAGGTACATATTATATTTGTTTTGTTAGGAATTATTATAATTGCATATTTTTTCAAAAAGTCCATGATTGTTATATAAATATAGTTGTATTTTATTTCGGATTGCCTACCTAGGTGGCTAAATTGAAAGTTAATCGATTTTGACTTGAGATGACTGACTTGCTAGACACTCCAACACGGTTGTCGACTTTACACTTTTTACATAAGGAATGGCACCGGACATGCGAAGCCACATACCACTCTATGTGATATACCTACTAATATATAGGTGATAGACGGATTGCTCATTTTAGTTTCGCCTTAAACGGTGATGATTGACTTGACAGACACTTTAACAGTTTAACATGCAGGTTTTTGCATTTTTTTTTTTTAAATTAATATATATACATTATAGGTAGTGTTTATATGTACTTATTGTATTGGTTAATATAATAGTAGGTATGTATCTAACTATCTACCTATATATGTTAATTTTTTTAGGAATTATAATTGCACTTTTCTCAAAGTGTTCATTGTTATATTATATCACACAATAAATACATATCATATTTGTTTGTATGTATATTGTATATAGTTTGAATTTTTCGTAAATTATTTCGTAAGTTGTGTGATAGGGTTTTCACTTATAGCCGCTTGACGTCGGGTCTGCAATCCACCGCAGGTGGATTGCCTACCTGATTTGCTGTAGCACATTGTCCGCGATCCGACGAAGTCGGATTGCCTACCAGCCTACCTAAGTGGCTAACTTGAAAGTTAATAGATTTTGACTTGAGATGACTGACTTGCTAGAAACTCCAACACGGTTTTCGACTTTACACTTTTTACATAAGATAAAGCACCGGGCATGCTACGGCACATACCACTTTATGTGCAGGTATACTCTATATAGAGGATCCTGGAGATCGTATCCAGCCTATCCATTTACAACGTTTGTGACGGATTGCTAGACACTCAAACTTTTAACATTCCCGCCAAAGCGTCTAGCCTTATATCCAATCCATATCACTAATCCTTATCACAAATCCTAAACTTTCGTCTTACAACCTTTGCGACTTTTATAATTCATTGTCTCCAAAATCGGTACCCACTCTCAGCGATTCCAACGGGCCCCGAGTTATACTTAGAGCTAGTAATAAATATATTATAATAAGAAGGGTATATTTTCGTCCGCTGCGTGACACGCAAATGTTGCTCTACTAGCGACTGTTGCGCGACTGTAGTGCGTGAATCGACAATCGCGCGCGTGAATATTCACGTGCGTGAATTATTGATAAACACAAATATGGTTTTTCATGGTTTCAACTTTTGCGTGATCACGCATCACGCATCGCGCACCACGCAATCACGGATGCGTGGTTGTAGGAAACCACGGCTTTAGGTGTTTTCACGATCCGCAAGCGCGCGGCGTTTAAGTCACGCCTACTATTCGCAATCGGCAACCGGCCGACGACGGCGACGACTACCCGTTCGGGAGCGCCGTTCATTTGTTATTTGAACTTTCGTCTAGTACTATTCGTATCATTATAAAATTTAATGTTTTCAATAACTGTGCGTACCTTTAACTACCGATTATTATTTAAGATACTGCTTACCTAAATTTACGTCCCAATATATAGATCGTAGAAACTGTATTATAACATAGCTTAATTTAAACTTATAGCATTATAATGCATTCAAATATAATACCTATACTAAAATATAATTTAATGGTACCTAAATAAAAACAGCGTAATCAAATTAATATTAATCAGCTGACATGTTTCATCTTTTATGTTCTTTTTTCAAACATGGATTTTTAATATGATAATTATTAATAAAAATGCATAATAATAATACATACGTACTTACAATATTTCAAATGGCTAAAACTAGCGTATACAAATAAAAACGACTAAAATAATTTTTTTTAACAATATGATTAGTATGATAATAATATAATAAATCAAATTTTATTTTAAAATAGCTGTTTTGAGATTTTCATTTGTTGTAAAATTATTTTTGACTCTGTTATGTCTGATTTCATGAATCTATATTTATAAACAGGATCCACGATTTCTGGCAGCAAACAGTTTAGATAAAACCTATAAGTATAACGTTTAATATTGATATACTTACTAATTTTTTTTAAAAACTAAATATTGGATTTAACAAAAGTTTAATTAATATTAATTCTAACAATGTTTACGTTTTTAATTTATCGACCATTTGTGTACTCCAAAAGTCCTCATCATATTTGATTATCTGGACTGACATCCAATTAGTCGTGTATATAATAAAAAAGCATTGTTCCTTTTGGGAAATATGCAGCTGTCCTTGTATTTGGCAGTAGTAAATATGATTTTTACTTAATACCAATTTGTTTTCTTTGATGGAACAATACTTCAGCTATGTTAATATTATAATAAATATTAGGTTTTAAAAAATAAATAAGGAAAGGTATTTTTTAGTAGGAAACAAACTTTGCCAGTGGATACAGCCTCTATCTCATTTTCCGTGTCTTTTGCAGCATAAGGACATTTAATTTCAACGATAGCAGTATCACCAATAATTCCATCCAAAATAATTTTGAAAAATAAATATCGTAATATTAATTAATTAATTATTTTATTATTTACTAAATAAAATAGTAGGAAAATTAAATCATGTCAAACCGGGACTAGCAGCTAAATATGGAATTTGCGTATCAATGAAAAGACCACATTTTTTTATTTTGTAACCGAAATTTTCTTCAAATTTTGTTTTTGCCTCGTCTTCCATATCCCTACCATACTGGACAGACCTATAAAATAAAAAAAGTATAGAATCTATTGAATAAAAAAAAAAATAGAAATAAAAATATTCTTAACATTAATAATGCACATTTTAGTTATAGTGCGGTATTTTAAATGTAACATTAAACTAACTTGCTATTGAATGTTAGATATAAGATTGAATGCACTATATTTTTGCAACTAGTATTGCGACGCATTTTGCATACACGACCAAAGTTACTAGCGGTGAGTCGGATCATCCTTTCTGCCCTCCAGTTTTCACTTTCGGCTTGATATCTTGTAGTTTCTTCTACTGTAGTGCGGTTGACGTCATATAAAGTCCTTTAGAACAAAATAATTGAATAAAACGAATAATAGCTAGGTATTGGGTATTCAGTATTTTTATCATTGTTTATATGTAATAGGTGCCTATAGTACCTACTTCAGAAACTGTTCCATATCTTTTACAAACGATGGATCATCGACTTCTCTTATACCTATAATAACGTAAAAATATGACAGTTATTAATTAGGTATAATTAAGTTTATTTATTACAATTTACAATAATATGTGAGCTTATCATTACATACCGTCTAATATGTCTGCGTTACCATAGTGTTTGTCTGGTTTGGAACTAGCTTTTGGTCGCTTTACTTTATATTTAAGTTTGGTCGAAAGTTGTCTTCGTTTTTGGCAAGCAGAACGGTTTTTTATTATTTGACTTAAAAATGATTTAGCCGTTTTTCCTATCAAAAAAATTATTTAATAGGTCATTTTACATTTGTATATAATATTAATTTTGAAAACAAAAAGTTTATCTTACCAGGACTTGTTTGAGTGATATGTTTTTTTACAGCTCTTAAATACTCGCTAGAATTAAAACTAACCACGGCTGCTAATATCCTTAATATCCTTGTATTATAAGAACTCCTTTGATTATAATTTATTCTTTTGCCACCAAGAAATTTATTAATAACACTATTAAATTGTTCGCAGATGTTGTTGTCTACGTCCAATATAAGGACGTAGGGATTATAATCCAGATGGGAAATATTTGTTGAAATACCCTAAAAGTACATTTTGTTTATTAGTTCAACAAACAATTGATCTTATTAGTAAAAAATTACCATCCTTATGTCATCACAAGACGTTAAAAACTGAGTTGTGTAAAATTATTCAAAATGAATTAAATTGTAATTTTATAAATTGTCCTGCTCATGGTAAAATTTTTCCAGAAAAATTTGAAAATTTTTTAATAAAATTAATGGTACACAACTGGTGTACACAAATTAACAGAATTTTATCAGGTAAAATAAAATTGGGAGAAAATGAGACTGATCCCATTAAGCTAAGTGCTTACTGCCCCGATACGTAACTTTTTCCAAAAAAAAGTCCTTTAAATAACATTTCTTTCTTTAACATCAATTAAATCAAATTAAATTCTTGTTTTTAATTTTCCTTTTTAAACATTTCTAATTTTTTTACTTTATTTAAATTACTCAGTTAATATTTAATAATTTCATCAATTATCTTCTACAAAATAATATATAAAAATTCAAAATTATCAAATTAAATTCTTATTTTCATTATCCTTTTTAAACATTTCTAATTTTTTTACTTTATTTAAATCACTCAGTTAATATTTAAAAATGTCATCAATTATTTTCTAAAAAATAATATATAAAAATTCGCTCCGCTCAATTTTGAAAATAATTTAATACAGATTCATATATTTAATAAAAAATTGTACTATATATTTGTAGATTATAAAAATACAATGACTGAAAATGAACCAAATGTTCCTATTTAATTACTTTTATTGTAATTGTAAAATGCATTTTTTAGTTTTCTTATGTATGACGATAGTCAACTAGTGTGTTTGGTAGGTTGTAAAAGTAAAATTACTAATAGCCAAAAGGTATGATAATTACAAATGTTCCTTATTAAAATATGTATGTTCTGTTATATTATGTCATATTATTTTGTTATATACTTAGTATTGTTATATTTTTTTTTTTATTAAATTTAGAATTTTTTTGTTTGAATTTACCTTATTTAATTCAACAATGTATGATTTAATGAATTTATATTATGCTGATTAATATTATTAATAAGTGTTTTATAATAATAAAACCTGATTCATATTTAATGTTGGTTGTTTTCCTTTGTCTGTTTGATAAAATTAGTTTTAAATATATTAAGTATTTATGCAATATTTAAAGTTGTTATGTCACAAAAATAAATTAGATCAATATGAAAAAAAAAGTAAATAATAATTAAAAAAAAAAAAAGAAAATAATAATTTTAATATATTTTAAAAACGGCGGGAATATATTTTGCACCGGCCGCCGCTGCCGCGCCGTAGTTACTTCCATCAAACACCGGGAGCGCTGTTTTCAATGTTACAAAAATTAACACTGAGGTTGTCTATCTACAAATACTATATACGACAATACGGGACAGCTATGGTAAAAACTGGCGTCCAGTTCTTATCAGTTCCCCCCGATATTGTAGTTGTGGTTGCCGTAATTTACCCCTTAAAAATAAATGTTATATTATATGAAAAAAAATGTTTATACCAACTAATTATTACTGCATTAGTTTCAATATATTTCCATTTTTTTTTTCATCTGTTTGATCTGGGAGTCGGTGACGAAACTGCTTTTGCATTGCTTCGATCTAATAATATTTCATCCAAAAATACAAGTTTTGTTTCTATAATTTATTCTTTATTGTAATTCTTTTTCAATAAAATTTTATAAAATAAATAAGAAAAGTATAAGAGTATAACTACATTTTATTTACATATTTAAATATTTGTACTGATAATTACTAACAAAATAAATTTAACTTTAACATAATGTTAGGTAGGCATATTAAATATGAGTAATTTTTTTTAACTTTTTATTATTTAAATATTTATATGGTACAGAAGAGTCATTGCACTTTTTTACATAACTATTTATACTGACATTTAAATACTTATCAACAAATGTATCTTCACAGTTTTCACAAATATCCAATGTATATCTTTTACAAATAGTTTTAATTAATATTTTTTGATTTCTTTTAATATTTTCTTTTTTTATAAAAAGTAATTCTTCAATTGATGAATTGAGTTAATAAATGCAGTTATACGCTTTGTATATTCAAGTGTTTTTATAAAAGGGTACAATAAATTACAATCATTGTATTCCTTCATATTGATTAAGGTATTATCTATGTTGAAAGAAGCACTATTCTCAGATTTGTTACTGGATGCCAATTTTTCAACACAAGCCTTATGAGTTAATTGAGAACAAACCCAACCTGTTATATATGCTATACCATTTGCTGTCTCGTTATCCATAAGAATGTAGTTAATATTCATATTGCTAAGAAAATCTTCATAATTGTTGGAAAAATCAAAATCACTGTCAGCCAACTTATGCAATTGTACTTTATTCTTTACTCTTAGGTCTTTGGATAATGCTAAAAACTTTGATGCATCTTTTTCACAATTTGCATTATTAGATGGATTAATTAACATGTTGCACATAGACATTCGAATTGCAGAAAAAAATTTTGATGCATCTGGAGTTACATTATTACCTCCTTTTGATCTTAAAATTGAAAATAAACATTCAATACAATCTTGGGTTAGACGTCTGGTTAATAAATAATCAATTTCATATTTTATGTTTAATTCATTGTATAAGAGTTTAATACAATTAATATTTTCTTGCCAACCAAGTATGCAAGGGGGGATATTTTTTCGTTTATTATTAACTTTAAGAGTTGAAAGAAATATTTGAGCTTCTTCTAAAAATGACCAATGTTTTGAATTTCTTGTTATTGGCCTTTTAAGTACAACTGATTCACTCATTTTAATACTATTAAAACAGTCGAATATATCGTTAAAAAATTTAACAAATTTTGCAGTAAATGTTGATTTATTATTCAAACGATTAAATGAAACTAATGTTAAAATTCCTGCACTAACTGAGTTACTAAATGTCTGTGCAGCTAAACAAACTCTCATGGGTGAGAAGGGTGGAAGCTCTATATGATTTTTTTTTAATTTACTTGCTAATCGTGGTTTAATTTTACTATCTATATTGGAAAAGTCTTCAATATCTTTCCAAAAATAACTTTCATGTCCATTTGTAAAAGTATATTTTTTTAAATTATTCCTAACAGATTTTAGTAAGTGTGGAGGATCGTGCATAAAAAATATATTTTCATTATTATAAGTGATGTAAGGTTTTTCCATTGTCACTCCAAACAATTTTCGCATTTTCATATTATTTGATCCTCGGTCACAAATTATAACCTTTGGAATCAAACCACATTCTATTAGTTTTTGAATAGTATGTATCATAATTTGTTTAAGACGATCACCCGATACAGGACCACTAGAAACAAAAAATCCTAATATTTGTTTCCATGGTAACACAAGGTTTTTAATCATTATTACTGTGGCGCGTGTAGGTTTTAAAAGGATGGTACAACTTACACGGCCAACATATACACTGTACGAAATAATGAGCTCTGAGACGGTTTAACGTGGAAAGATATTTATTGTTACTAGTCGGAAGTAAATATCACAGAGTAAGTAAATGTCACAGAAGTTATGCCGGTCGCTAGCAGCGGGGACGGTGTCGAGTCGCGTGGTTCTGTATCGACGCACAGGTCGGGATTCTTACGCGATGAGAGTAGGTACGCCGGTGTCCGTCGCGGAGTGCGTGTTACGGGTCGCGTACTTGGTGGAGACCAGTGGTCGTGTTGCGGAGTACCAAAGACGTGTAACGTGAGCACACGGACGGGAAAAGATGGCGGTTTCTCGAGCGAACTGTTAGGGCGCGATAAACTCGAGGCGTGTTCGTGTGGAGAAATCGTGTTAGCCGTTTCGTGGTTACGGACGGAGAGACCGTTGGCAGCCGCCCGACACTTCGCGGTCGCGAACGACGCGGAGGGCCGAGCGGTGCTGCCAACACAGGGAGCGCGACCGACATAGGGAGGGAGCATGTGGTGAAACACTGGTTCGCCACATTACTAACGCTTGATTACCATGTTTTAGTGACAACTGATTTTCAAAAGTATTTGAACCATACTTACTTACTTACTTGGTAGGACGGCTTTACGCCTATATACTATACCAGGCTTTTTGCCTTTGCTAGTAGCTGGATGTCGAAGTGGAATTTGTAACTGAGGATTCTTTTTAATTTTTAATTTTTGTTATATATTTAACTTTCTGCCCACAGTTTTACTCTAGGCCGTTGTTTGTGTCTAGAGGCATGGGATGGGTGGGAAATCTGACCAATATTCCTTATATGATTGTATTGAGATGTTGAGATTCGGTGGAAGGTTGCTAAGGCATTCTTTTTGGTTAAGTGTTTGATAGGGATGAGACCGGTTGTGTGAAGAAGTACAGAGTTTTTTACGATGGACGGTTGACCTAATATTACTCTGATACTAATTGTTTGTACTGCTTCAATTTTCCGCCATGTAGATTTACTGATGAAGGGTGCCCATGCTTCACCGGCATAAGTTAAGATAGGGATAATGTACATTTTGAAAAGGTTTAGTTTGGTTCTGGTGGGGATTGGGCTTTTTTTGGTTAAAACTGAGTATAGAAGGCCGCGAATTTGAGTAGCTTTTTTGACAATGTTTGATGCGTGAGTAGAAAAGTTTAGTTTGTGGTCAATTGTTACTCCTAGATATTTAACGCTCCTGGACCAAGGGATTTGAATGTTATTTATTTGGATATTTTTGATATTTGTAGTCTTTGTACGGCCGAACAGGATTGCTGTGGTTTTAGATTCATTTATACGAAGTCGCCATTTTTTGAACCAGTCTGATGCCAAGTTTATTTGTTTTTGAAGCTGTAAAGATGCAAAACGAGCATTGTGGTTTGCACAATAAAACATTGTGTCATCCGCAAATAGAGAGACTCGAGAATTAATATTCGTAGGTAGGTCATTTGTATAAATATTAAAGAGCGTAGGAGAAAGACAAGAACCTTGTGGCACGCCCGCGTTAGCCTTTCTTAGTGACGAGTTATGGTTTTCAATTTTGACAGAAAAGGTACGTTCCGAGAGGAAAGAATCAGTAATTTTTATAAGTTGTAGAGGGATATTCATGGACATCATCTTGTGGAGAAGTCCGTCATGCCAAACACTATCAAACGCTTTTTCGACGTCAAGGAAGATGGCAGCTGTTTGGATACCTTGGTTCAGATTTACGCTGATTTGGTCTATTAGTTTGGTCAGTTGGAGGACAGTGGAGTGATTTTGACGGAAAGCGAACTGTTCGTCTCTTATTTTGTCAGCTAGATATTTTTGGAGGTGTTGAAGGATTAAACGTTCGTATATTTTTGAGAGGGAGGAGAGAAGAGCTATAGGCCTATAATTTTCTGGTAGTTGAAGATTTTTGCCAGGTTTTGGAATAGAAATTATGGACGACATTTTCCATATGCTTGGAAAGTAACACAGATTAAAGCAACCGTTTAATATTTTAGTTAAATCTAGTAATTTGTTCTTGGGTAGGAATTTAAGTGCAGTGTTTGTGATTTGGTCTCTGCCAGGGGCTTTATTCTTTGCTAGCTTGGATATAAGTTTTTGGATTGTTCCTGGTGTGGTGAAGAGATTGGGTTTTTCTAACACTGAGCCTCTGATTGTCGCAATGCTCTCAGTTACTTCTGGGAGATTTGGTCCTTGAAAAGTAGAGAACTGTCGTTCCAGGGAGTCTGCAATAATCTCTGTTTTTTCCTCCGCGGAGTAGGATAAACCATTTGGACCAAGTAGTGGGTGAGTGGCTGGTCTTTTTTTTAGTAAACTTCTATTTAATTTATAAATGGAATTTTCACTTTGGTTTAGGGAAGTTAGGTATTTGTCCCATTCATCTTCTCTGTGGGTTTGGAGCATTAACCGTATGAGGTTTATTTTGGCATTTAGAGATCTTTTAATCAGGGGGTCTCGGGTTTGTTGCCAATCTCGGCGGATTCGGTTTTTAGCGTTTATTTCTTGCTGTATTTCTGCGGGGATGACCGGGCGGCGACCGTTTTTGATACGAAGATACGAGCTATTATCAAGAGCTGAATGGATAGAATAGGTGAATGCTTGAATACTGTTGTCAATGTTTTGCTTGGAGTTAATAAGAAGAGTTTTGCTAGGTTTTTCTGCACTAAGTGTGTGATAAAATTTATCCCAGTTGATTAGGGAGTTTGGAGTAGGAGGGGAGACTGTGATTGGTGAGTCAGAGAATTCAAGTAATATTGGATTGTGATCTGAAGATAACTCGTTCAAGTTTGTGACGTGTACTAGAAGATGAGTGCGGATTATAGCAATATCTAATACGTCAGGTCTATATTTTTTACAGCTTGGAAAGTGTGTGGGGGTGTCAGGAGCGATGATAGAGTAGTCATTTTTCAGAAGGTGGTTGTAGAGTATTAGCCCAGCAGAGTTTGTTCTGCAGCTGTTCCAGAGTGGGTGTTTTGAGTTTAGGTCACCCGCAATAATAAAATTATCTGCACTATTGATGAGAAGGTCAAGGTCAGATGTAATTAAGGTTGATGATGGAGGTTTGTAGACTGAAGAGATGAGGGTGGTTTTGTTGTTAATTTTAATTAAAATAGATGTAGACTGAAGTTTAGTATTTATATTGGTTGGTTGATGAACTATTTTACGATGAACTAGGATAGCTGTACCGCCATGGGCTGGAGAACCACGGATTGGCGGTAGGTCGTTCCTATATGTGATAAAATTAGGGATCTTGAGACTTAGATTGGGTTTGAGATGAGTTTCATTTAGAAGTATGATATCGGGTTTATTAGTGGAAATGAATGCACTAAGTTCATTAATTCTTCTTGTAATGCCGTTTGCGTTCCAATGTACAACTTTTAGATTTGAAATCATTGTTGGTTTGCAAATAGGGTTATAAAGGATTTTATAGTAGATATTAACATGGATTTGGGATCGTCCGATGTAGACAGAACTGAGAGGAGATCAGTTAAAAGTTCGATTACCTGTTCGCTATTTAAAGTCTTCTTGGGTTTAGTTACCGAGGCATAATCCTTTTTAGTGGTAACTGCTTTTTGTGGTAGATTTGGTTGTGCTACAGGGGATGGCGGGTTTGGCTGTGGAATTTTGGATAGCTGGGAACTTGCGGCTTGGGCAAGGTACGGACAACCACGGTAGTTTGCCGTGTGATTGCTACCACAGTTGCAACACGTTGGCTCTTGGTCAGCGGTTTTAGGGCATAAGCTGGCTTTGTGTTCACCTGAGCATTTTACGCATCTAAGTGGGTAGGTACAGTTTGAAGAGCCGTGACCAGTGCGTTGACAAGCAAAACACTGGGAGGGGCCCGTTTTTTTGTAGGACTCAACAGTGACCTTCAAGAAGAATAGTTCAGAGATTTCATAGATGTTTTTCGAATTTTGAGTGTTGCCAAGAATGACTAGGCATATTGGCATGGGTTTGTTGACAGGTCCGAAACGTTTCACAAGTTTAACGTCAAAATTTAACAGTTCGAGTTCGGATTTTAACTCATCAGTAGAAATGTCAGTGGGTATACCTCTTAACACTACTTTGAGGGTGCGCTCCTCTGGGAGTTTGGACGTTTTGAACATGATTTTTTGATCCAGGAGAGTTTTCTGGATTAGCCTGAAGTGATCAATCACATGGGTTTTAATAATTATAGATCCGTCATTTGAACCATAATCTTCAAAACCAGTAAATATATCATTCTGTGAATTGTATGATATTAATTTTTTTAATGACATTTCATCCATAATTATTGAAACTAATCTTTCTTTTATTGGAGCTGTTTTAAATTTTAAACTTAAGATATTCAGAATGTTTTCATTTATACCACATGATACATCTAAGCCCTGCAACCATCTCCTCAGTGATCTAACAGCAGGTAGATTAAGGTATGATCTCATAAATTTATAGCCTACAGGCGAGTGGTAATATAGACCCAGCGCAAATGACTTTTCTGTTTCTTTGTATCGTTTTGCACTTTTTTTCAATTGACCTAACCGAAATTCAGACCTAGCTATCATGTTAGAGCTTAAAAATTTATCCATTTTGGATTTTTTGTCATACACTTCTTTTTTATTTTTTTGTTTCAGTTTTAATATTGTTTTTTTACCCTTGCATATTAATTTCTGAGCATTTCTTAACTTAACCTTCAGTTGTTGGATCATACTTTCTTGATGTTCTACAATATTTCTTGTTTTAACAGACATAGAAAGTACTTCTAAAACAAAAAATGTATGTATGTATTCATTACTCAGTTATGATTAAATCATAAGATACTTTTTTTAAAAATGGTGACATCAACATGATGAAAAAAAACATAATAGTAAATTATAAGATAAAATCAAAAGTTGACCAAGAAAAAAAGCACTTAAACCAACATAATGCATAACATACCAATATACCATTACACAAAACCAAGATCGTAGACAAAACTAATATATAATATTATATAACAATTATATTTATGTAATTATGTAACATTTATCCACAAAACATTCACAATACACATTTATAAATAATAATTTTATGATTATTATTTTAATAGCAATTTACATATGTCTGAGTAAATAATTTTTTTCTCTTGTAAATCTAAATTCTAGTACTTATTCTTACAATTAGTAGTAAATACATTTTAATACAATATTACAAAAAAATACAACACAAACCATGTCCCAGACTGGAAATGAAACATCTTATAAATATTCAAACCTGCTTTAGATTCATCCATAATATTATGTTCATCTTTTGGTAACATATTTGCTAAATTTGATGTTGATGCATCTACGTCTGATCCAAAAAGTGATCGTTTTACTGTATTCTGATGCATCTTACATTCTTCAGTTAAAAAACTATTTTCCTCGGAAACTTTTGTAGTAATGTTTTTTTTTGAACTTGTGAGTTTTTTAGGAGTTGTTAAACGATCAAATTTTTTATATATAGAAAATACTGGACTGTGTATTTGATTTTGTTTCTTTCTATTTTCAATAATATTATTGAAATTTAATTTTAAACCTAAAAAACAATTGTTTGTTATTTATAGTAGTTAGGTATAAGTTGGTATATATTTTATAATCAAATCTATCAAACCCTTACTTTTCAACAATGGTTTAGCTAAAGGAGGAGATGTAACTGGTAAATTTAATGAAGGTACTACACCATATTTCAATCTAAAAAAATATTCATAAACAAAACATTGATAATATAAAACTAATACTATATATAGGTATGTATAACTTACAGTCTTCTACTAGAACCCCTGTTTGATACAAAATCTTCTGGGTTAAAATGGTTTGAACAAATACTATAATTTAAACTCAGATGTAAATGTCCAAAAGTTCTCATAACTTCATTTATTCTTGAATTGTTTGCAAACTTAACCCATTTTTGAGAACTGTAATTTGTAATATTATAAACAATAACAATTCTAGTATATTATGATTTAAGAGTGATTTTTATAATAAACAAATACTTACATATGAACGTCTTTTGGAAATGAATGAAAAGACAATCTCTGTTGACCACTTAAATCATTTTTACAATGATTTATTGCGCATACTTTTTTGGACACCATTTTTAAACAGTTAAAAGTAATACAACTTAAAAGTAATTACTACGCCGTTAACTTATGAATTTTGTTAATTGATAAAAAATTAACAGTATACGTAATACTTAGTATACTTCAAAAATGGTGGGAAGTATTATCATATTTTAAGGAGTAAAGTTAGGCAATTTAATATCAATCTCGGGGAGAATTGATAAGTCCGGTCGCCAGGTTTTACAGTAGTAAGTGTCCCGTATTGTCGTATATAGTATTTGCTATCTATTACAATTCTTGTCTATGGCCTTGCTAGCGGCACTCGTCGCTGCGCTCCTCGGCGCCGTCGCTGCGCTCCGCAATCGAAAATATCCCTCGACTTGCTGTGCAACACCACCTTAAGTAGGTCACAGGGTAAGTTATGTCGTAGTATGGGCAGTGATGCTTTGCTAGCATCAATCTTCATGATAGGCACAGTGAACTTAAAATAGCGAACTTCATTTGCCGATAAATTCGAAACTAAGTCCGAGCCCCAAATTCTGACTTCATCATCGTTTTCAGCGTACTTACCAACATATATTTCAATTACAAAAATCGCAAAAAAAAAAGGTCTCCGGTAAAGTAGAAATATACCCTTATTTTAATATTTAACTTACCTTTCATTGTCATTATTTTTACGACGATTTACCAGAATACGAGTTAAGCGTTTTTTGGTAATACGTTTAACATTATTTTTTTTGTTTCCCATGCTAATATTTCACTATTACAAAATAGTAGATAGGTTGTCGCCTTGTCGGTAAAATAAAATATTTCGTGTACAAATTAACAAATTAAGTCGTGAATACAAGTTCACGTGTCTTCAATGACCACGAACAAATAATGTTCATCGCCGATCCACTTTCTGCAGTTGACGATTATTTTATATTTTATTCCGGGTATTTATTTATAAACCATTGCCCGGTCGCGATAAGAAAAGATAAAGATTTTGAACTTCGAAGCGGTAATTGTAGCGGGTCGGGGGGTAACGAACGTTATCGAACGCTGCCGTAATAGAAACAGAGCAGCACTAGTCGGCCGTAAATTGTCTGTTTACGGCATAAAACTTAAAACGTTTATGGCACACTTAGATTGTAAATCAACCACTCTACAATGATTTTAGAGTAAAAACACCTATTATCGAAATAAAAGCTTACAATACTTAGGAGGGCATCTCATCGGGAATTTTCATTATGTTAATTACACTGTTTGATATTACATTTATAAAAAACGTTTATTTTTGATTTTTTAAATGGCCGTATTATTTTTTTAACTAAATATTTTATAAAACCCCGATGAGATGCTCTTCAAAATATTGTTTTGTTCTATTTTGTTAATAGGTGTCTTAGCTCTAAAACCACTCAGGAACAAGTAATTTTGAATCTACGCAAGCGTGTTTTTAATACTGAAAAATGCCGGTGCGACGTCCTCTTAAGGTAAAAACGGAAATGAGGGACATCTGTTTAGACCAACTCAATCAAAGTTTGAGGGCACCAATTAATAGTCTAAATGTAACATACATACGGAATTATATACAGCGTGACAACAAAATAAACATAATAGTAACATGGGGCGGGAGTTCGGACAAAATTATATTAAAAAGATTAGGGTTAACGGAATTTCCATTAATAGAGAGTTTTTGCACAACGCCGGTTAAAAATACGGTATGAATCCGATAACGTTATTTACCAAAACAAGCCTTTGCGCATGCGCGAAAAATATCGGAACGGTTATTTGATTATCGTAATCGGTTATTTTAAACATTTTAGCGGGCACCTAATATTTATTATCGGTTATTATATCTTATCAAATTCTGTTATCCGTGATTTTGATTTTACACTGGTGATCACAGCTGTTTTCTTTATCAGCCAATACCGGTGTTTAGTATCCCACTTTTTTTTTAAATTAAAGTGTTTGAAATATTTAACTTCTTGTATCTACGCAATTTATAAAATACTGATGAATACTAATAAATAATGGTAGATAATATTGACTATTGTTTATTATTAATTATAATTTCAACCATTGTTTCATAACCATAGTCCATAACCAAATATTTTATTACACTAACATATACCATACCTAATAGGTACTTAATTGTTATATGAAAGACGATTTGAAGCTTGAAAGTTCAAGTTCAAGTTTATAAAAAGTTTAAAATGGAAATTAAAAAAGAAAGATTGAGATTTTCAACGACAGATGACTTGTGCTTATTACGCCAAGTCATATGTTTAAATCCTTATAATGACACTAATCAGTGGAATATTATAAAAGACACTATAGTCTCAACATCTATGAAGAATTTTTCGATTCGTTCAATTAAAGAGCATGTAGAACATCTGCTGAAAGTGTGGAGTAAAGAAGATCGGGCTAATTTAAAAAAGTAAGTTCATTCATATTAATATTGATGTTATAGGTATTAATGTATTATCCGACCAATGAAAACTACCTATTTAATTAAACAATTAGTTAAAAACATTTTAAGCACTTAACAAATAGTTATATTGTTTAATATTATCAACTTAAAAACCATTATTATAAGTCATTGGTGTATTAACGGAGGCTGATGCCCTCAGTAGACAAGAACCCAGTATTTTTGAAGATGTTTTAATTATATAATAGATCTGGGACTGAAGAGGAATATGGAGAAAAATGTCAGTTACTACAAGAAATTAGTGACATGTATAAAGATTTTAACAAAAAACAAGAACGATAAAAATGAAGGATATAGAGCTAGAATCAGTGCAACTCAAGGTATATAAAATATTATTAAAAGTTATTAGCTATGTTATTGTATCATATTTAATTTGTAACTAACATACTTTCTGAGTTTTTATTGTTTGTCTGAAGATATTATATTGGAAAATGACTCACTTGCAGACATGACTGTACATAATAATGATTATGCTATATTCTATGATTGATAGTGAAGATGTTTCAAATAACTTAAATATTGAAACAAGTATAAGTCTGTTTATTTACAATATATACAAATAGGAACTGGTATTTATATTATATTATATTTATATATTATGTTAAGTAGGTACTGCTGATAATGATGATACTATGACTCAAAATAATATTATTCAAGTCACTTTAGATAACATACCCAATCCAATAGATACTACATGTACTGACATCCCATCTACATCGAGGCTGGGTAATTTACTAATTTATTAAATTGCAAATTGCACTGGAATAAGGTATAATTTTAATTTTTTTATAAGTTTGAATTTTGACAAAATTCATCAAAGTCACATAGGTACGTCTGAAAATCAATTTCTAGTTAAGAGTTAAAAATTAAAGAAACAAATTTTCATAAGTAGTTTATACTGTAATCAAAAAATCTACTCGTAATCGTTTTTTTTATACAATTATTTTAGATAATTGAATTCATATTTAACACAATATCCATTACTTAGCACTTGTGTATATCAGAGTTGTAGTTTGGTACCTGCCCACTTGCCCACTTCTTTTAATAACTGTCTTTACAGAAATAAAACCTACGTAAACAATTATTAAAATGATCTTATCATAGTCATCAATGTATCAAAGTTAAATTAAATTATTAAAGATTTTTCTATACTTTATACTTTATAGTTAATAAAACGAGAAAAAGAATTCATGAGCCCCTTAGACAGTCAACTTTAAATTATTTAGAAGATAAACATCAAAGAGAACAAGCCACATTAAATAAACAATTAACTATGGAAGAAAAAAGACTAGAAATAGAAAGTAAAAGACTTAAATTAGACATAGAAAAGTTTGAATTTGAAAAAAAACAGAAATCAGAAATACAGGAATTAGAAACAATTGAAAGAAAGGAAAGACTGAGATTAGAAATAAGAGAGAAAGAGGAAAGACTAAGTTTTGAAAGTAAAGAAAGGGAAGAAAAACTAAAGTTAAAAGTAGAAAAATTGAAAATTGCTAGTCAACAACAAACATTGTTACAATTAATGTTGGAACAACTTATTAAAAAATAAAGACATAAGTCATAGGACGGTATACTTTTTCTATTTAAGTAAATGCTTAATATAATATTTTATTTTAGATTACTTAAACTTGTTTAGTTATTATTATTATCATTTACTACTTCAACAGTACCTAGTTTATAATCAAACATCAAAGATAAATTAGGTAGTTTATATTAAAAGAGTATGTTTTAAAGTTTTTTTTTTGTTTATAAATTAAGAGTTAGAAATTTAAAAAATGTTTAGAGTTTGATGATAAGTTACAATTTTATTAATAATATTACAATATTTTCACAGTTTTATGTGTTTTATGTATCAGTTAAATGTTTAAATATTCTTCCAATGTGGGTGGAACTGTGGAAAAATAACTTGATGTTTGACCTCCGTACAAACATGTTAGACAATTGGATAAAATTACCCCAGTCATGTACATATGGCTTACTTCTTGAAGAAGAATTTTTTGATTTTTTTTTAAATCCAAGAAAGCAAATTCTGTAATGACTTTACCAAATCCCCATTCAACTGCTTGGCGCACTGAGCTCATTGCTTTATTAAAAGCAAGCTGTTCTGGTGTAAGTATTCTACTACAATAAGGTTTAAGAATCAGTTCTGACATCGGATATGCTGGATCACCATAAATTATATATTTTTTATCCCCGTGCACTGCAATTTGCATTAATTCTGAATACAATTCTGTATCTCTCAACATACCTTTGAAATAAGAATATTTTTAAAATATTTATTTATGTTAGAAAGGTATAGGTATCAGCATAAGCAAAACTAGAAAATGTTATTAGAACGGACCAATTAATGATAAATATAAAAATATATTTTTAATTTTTATTTAAATTATATTTACAGTATGTCATTAATTCCATATTAGGTTAGGCCATGACCTGTAGTTTTGATTATAGGTTATCAGGTATGTATATTTTATAATTCATAATAATTATATTAATATTATATTTATTATAATTTATATCTTTTTAAGCTAACTTTATTTATTTTATTTTTTATTTGTTTTAATTT